TTTGAGACTCAAAAGAGTCCCTGTGTAAAAGTGCACTAATACAACACAAATCGAGCGCGAAAACTAAAATACCTAACGGCAATATATATGTAAATAAAAACTAATAACCGTGCGCGGATTTAAAGAATATATGGAATATAAACAAAACAACAAGCACGCACAAGGAGCTAACCAGCTGAAAGCCGGAGAGGATAGACACTGTGATGAAATTCATAAACACAAATGCGTACATACAAACAGAACTCTACCTCTGCAAAACCAAAGTGAGGGTATTTATTTCACTTGTTATTTTATATATGTAAATATGTTTGCTTGAATACGGTTTTATATAACCTAACACCTGTAATAGTAAATTTGTTTTTTCCAATATTAAAACGATTACAGGTTGCTATATTTATTTTAGAAAGTGACAGGTTAATAAGATACTGCACTAGGTTTTCATCTTCACTGATTCAAGACAACTCTGAATCGTTATTAGAAATAAAAAGCAAAATCTTAACAATTTTTGGACTCGTCTCCAAGCGGCTCGTAACGCCATGATAGAAACTGAGTCAGCAGATTTACCACAAAATTTTAAAATCTCGGCTTTCGTGAAGTATGAAAACTGCTTAGACCAGTACAGCTACAAAAGCTATGATCTCTTATGATCAGTTAAAGCTAATAAAAGCAATTGCACCTACTCCACATCCAAGAGTACAGCTACCACATATTCAAAGTCTAGAGTAAAGTTCAGGCATCCATCTCGAGGTGCCCGCATGTGACACAGCAATATTCAGTGGAGGTCATGAAGAATGGCCGTCCTTCCGGGACATGTTTCAGCTGTATACATCAACCATCCAAAACTAAAGGTCAAGCAGGCGTAATAGTAAAACCGTTCGCCCTAAATGACGATAATTTTAATTTGGCCCGGAAAGCTCTTGAATCAAGATACGAAGACGAAAGAATATTGGTTGATAAGCAAATAACTATATTAATGAACTTGCCTAAAATTCGAAAAGAAACAAGTGAAGAATTTATCAAACTTCAATCAACTGTTTCCAATTGTTTGTCGGTTTTATCGACATAGAATATTCCCACAGACAGCTGGGACCCTATACTGGTAAACATATGCACCGCCGCATTACCAGAAAAATCGTTACATTTATGAGAACAATCGCTCTCATCACGAAAGAAATGCCCCACGTGACAACAAATGAAAGATTTTCTAATTACCCAGTACGAATTCGCTGAAAGGGTAGATATAAAACTAATTAAAAAAAAAATTATTCAACACTTTTAGGTCGTAAGCTTCAATAGACCCCAAGCTAGTCGCAAAAACAAATTAAACAGAAGCTTTTACAAAACGCAATCGTTCACATCCGAACAGAATAAACATACATCATGCGAACTATTCACAAAAGGGCATAATCTACAATCTTGCGAAAAATCAAAAAAAAAAATTCAAGAAAGAAACTTTTTCCGGAGATCCAAAAAAGTATGTACAAATTGCTTGTCACATGCGCATACATATCAAAATTGAAAAAGCAAATTCAATTGATTATATTGTCATAAAAGACACCACTAAATGCTTCATTACAGCACATATCCCAACTCACCTCAAAGCAGCGCTTATAAGAAAAGAATCACGGGTTTAATTACAAAATTAAATCTCGAAAATTGGCAAGAAGTGCTGCTCAAAGGCATTAAAAACACAAACGCTACACAGCGAAGTTCAAAGTAGGGTATTACAACCTACAGCAGTCATCTCCAGGGAACATCGAGGAGAACTCTACAATCTTGGAGCCCTAATATACCAAGGATCACAACGATCCTTCATAGCGTCTAGGGTCCAAAATAGGCTAAAAAGGCCTTCAAAACAATTTAATTTTGAAATAACTACCACTAAATTCACAATGTTCCAATACTCCACGAATTGGCAGAAGAAACAAAATAAGAGTTCCTTCTGACAAGATCCGTTTTAGAAACACAAATATGTAATTTTCGACCCCGCAGAATAGCTCTTGCCAATAATGATACAAAAATCCTGCATCAAAAGTCCTGAGCTATGTAGTGCTACTACTTGCCAAATTGGTGCATACACACTTAATATAACATATAACAAAATTATCCGAAGAAAGTCAAACAATCGACAAATCTCTTACTCTGGAGCCTCATAGTTGCCTAAACTTTCATAATTATAAAACAATTCAAAAATAAAGATAGGGTTCACCATACTCCCAATGTGATACAGGGACGCACCTAGCCTTACAAAAAGCAAAGATCGCACTTATCGTTTCTATATAATCGCTCCTTATATGGGTGGTTAATGGGAATAAGTTGTAAAAACTTCAAATCCCACTTCAAAAAAAGTATCTTACAAATCTAATTATGACGAATTTACCATATTACTAACTCGAAATGAGCCGTACTCTCGCAAGCTTATATATTTACCAGCTGCATTGAATTTATGCTTGACTTTATTGACAGAAGTATTCAAACTAAGCGGATTAACTCCATGAACCGACCACAATTTGATTTAGGTAAAAGATCACCCATACCAACTATCCAAATAACCAAACGACAAAGGAATTTTAATATTCTGAACCAGTACCAACTATGGCAGATTATCAGCAAACTATTTCAGAACAGGAAGAACGGACAGATGATGAGAAAACCCTTAGCGACTATACCAAAGTTATTGAAAACAATAACCAAGGACAACAATACGATTATATTTTTCTTAATTTTTAAGAATTACTGACTCCTCATTTTCATACTTCGAATGTAAGGTGAAGAGCGGGCAAATGCTTAAAATACTGATTGATGCCGGTTCCAAGAGAAATTATATTCAACCAAAATTTGTACAAAGTCTACTACAGAATGAGACTCCATTTATGCAGTAGGAGTTAAAATAAAAATAACTCTGTAAAAAATGGCTAAATTCTTTAATGATCCAAAATCCATCGTTAAATTTTTTTATCACCCATTATTAAATCAGCAAATGTACCCAGAGTAGATTAGGTTAGGTTAGTTTGGTAGGCTACTGAGCCACGCATAGACCAGTTTTGATACTTTGCGATACCAGATGGAGCTCAGCTACGAGGTCATCCTTTAGGAAGCCTGCTCTATTTAAAGCAGTCGTCTCGATCTGTCAGTCCATTCTGCAGGTGTGTGCTGCACCGATATAGTAACCAGGAGTATTCCGATCATGTTGCTACAGTCCCTTCTATCGAATTTTGTATACTTTCGAACTACTGGCTTACACATGACTTTTGCAGTTTTGCATCAAGGTAGCTCGTTCCCCCGCGTTTTGATTACCATGCTTCTGACCAAATCATCGTATAGACAATGCAAGGGTTTTCCAATGTTCACGTTTCAGTGTGTCAGCCGTACACAACTCTTGGCAATCTCGTCTACTGTCTTATTGCCCTCGATGCCTTTGTGACCTGACACCCAGTAGAAGTGAAGTCGCCTATTTTTGGCAACGCTCACCACTGATTCACTGCTGCCCTACTACCCAAGACGCTTCTGGCCGATATGCAAAACGAGGTTTAAGCCTTGATTGCTGCTTGACTGTCCACTTAGATATTGACTCTGGAGTTATTTGCTGATGCATTAGAGGCTAGCTCTGCGGCTTTCCCAAAAGCAAAACCTCTTTTTTGGTCCGAGTCTTCATGGACTGTGGAACCTGTGCGCCGCAGATCTGGCTTGGCAGTAGTACTACAACGACCGCACACCTACTCTCATTGCAATGAAGGTGTGACCGCTAACGACAAAGCTTATCAAATCGCTGTGCCTGCCGGTGGTAGCAGTATCTAGTTGAGTTTTAGATTCGGGGGTCTCTACCCCTAGCGTTTTATACCTACCGCCAGGTACCTTGTTAACAATGACTGTTGTATTCCCCCATTCACCTCCTTCTGAGGTTGCATATAAAGCAGTCCTCCTAAAGGGTAAGAATGGTATCTTGGACTATCCGGTTATTATTGAATATTTATCATGGGTTATAATGCAATAGCGAAACCACTCACTGCATTATTTAGGGAAGAAAACGGATGAATATCAAAGATAGCATCGGCTAGAAAACAATACATCTAGATATTGAGAATAAGCAGCTAAAAAACAGCTAAAAAATGCGTTAATGACGTAATACTACAATACCTTGACTTCAATAAAGAATTTACATTAACTACAGATGCTCCTCACCATGCAATACTAACGGTACTCTTTCAATCTGACAGAACAATTGCGTTTATATCGAGAACTCAATAAAAAACTCAAGAAGAAACGTAAGCCATATGTTGGACTGTAAAGACTTTTAAATGATACCTTTATAGCGGTATTAAAGTAAAAATGTATACAGATCACGAACCACTTACACATGATTGTACATTGAAATGTGGATTAGTGATAGACTTACTTGGATGAGTACAATAAAGAATTACTCCATAAACCAGGAAAAACAAATATTGTAGCCGATGCATTGTCTCGAGTATCAAAGTTAATTCAATAACAGAAACAAAACGAAGTACACAAAGCATATACGTTTACCATTCCATTCCCTACATTCCATAGACATATTGTTTTTCAACTAACATATTCTGATGATTTAATGAAAATATTGAAGAAGTATTTAAATACTTCTGTTATAAACGGAAACTACACGACAGAGGACATAATGGGACATATTCAAAGACTGTACCGGAATATTTTAGATCCTTTAAAATCAAATTTACTTATATGAAGGCTTAACAAACGAAACAGACCAGGATGAGATGATTTTACAGATTCACAACAGGACTCGATAAAATTTCTCGGAAAAAAAAAGATAAATATTATTTTCCGAAAATGAGACAAAGAATAGTTACACAGGTAAAACAATGTCAAGTATGCAAGTGAGAAAAATATGGACGGCATACCCCAAATTCAGCAACTACAAAAACCCCAATACCTAAGTTTCCTGGACATACACTTCACATAGATACATTTTCAGAACCTGCACAAGCAATAATAGTCCAATCAAAGTCAATTGAAGGCATACAAATTTGCATGACATGTTTTATTATGGAGTACTTAAGTGCGTTATAGTAGTTAACGACAAGTTTCTTAATTCATCAACTGTTACTTTCATGATGAAAGTGTTGAAAGAAGATGTTGAAAGATTTCATTCCGGACGATGTCTCTATGAGGTTCCATGAATCGAATAATAATAAGTACATCCTTCTCTGCGATTTTATATTTTCTCTTTAATAATCAACAATTACTTTTATTATTAAAACAATGCATAGTTTTAGCTATCAAATTTACTTACATATTTGCGCGCACAAAATTTACACAATGGATTTGAAGTGATAATAAACGAATATTTTCTTGTGAATTAGTTTTTCAGAACATCCATTTCTACTCGGAAAACTTCTTTAAAAAAAAAATGGAAATTGAATAGTGAAAGTGAAAGATTGAAAATGAATTTGCTTCAAATTCATTCGGAAGTGGATTACAGAACCTGCTTGATACAACTGTATATTGGTACAGAAACTTTTAAAAAACGGGCGTGTGTACCGCCCTCTGATTAGTAAAATGTACAAATCTTCTAAGCAATATAAGTTACAATAACCAAATTCGCTTAGGTCTAATCAACCGCTACCGACAGTGTTAAAAGGGATGGATGAAATCGAATTATAAGCCTGCCCACTCCTCATATGTTTTGTTGCAATCTATTAAAAGCGCGATAAATCAATAACTAAATGCTCCAGAGACATTTAATTTTACAATCAGGATGATTCAAGAGGGCTTTATGGGAGTCGGGGTCAACGTTGGCCAATTTTGACGATGGGCGTGGCACCGCCCACATTTAGGTGAAATCACATATATCCGGTCCTACTGGGCCAATTTCAACTGAATTCGCTACATACTATTATCCTGATTATCGTACGTTATATTTAGAAAACAATTAACAATGAATGAGATATGCCATCTCTAGTCTAAAAACCCAAAATCGGACCATAACCGTTTAAGCTCCACCATACTGAAGATGTGGACTAAAGTGCGTATGGCTGACTTTTGGCCGAAAATATCGGTCAATCTGTGAGATATATAATATATGAAATTCGGAGAAAATGTTTCTCTGATAATAATATACCCTTATGTCAAAAATAGGTTGAATCGGGTCAATACTTCCCTTAGCCCCCATATACCTAATATAAGATTTTCGAACTTCCAGGGGTAATATCGGTCAAGATGTGAGTTATCTGAATTAAATTAAGTAAGCTTTAATTCTCACTGTAAATTTAACATTATTTTTATGTACATCTCGAAAACGTCCAACGCGTATTTTTCACGAACGAAATCGCGCTATAAATCCATCAAAAACTACGCTCACCGAATTTTTTAATTGTGTAGGCGTACGGATGTTTTTGATGCCTTAGCACAAACACTAATCTATATACAGTTAATCCGTATAGACTGAATGCTTTTATCTGCGATTGATGTGAGTTAATGTTACCGGATCATTATCAGTAGAAGATATACGCAAAGTAAATGGACAAAAGTATGTTATGTTGCTTGCTAGAAGATAACAATCATTGGGATTGCTGAAGCAGCATTATATTTCACACAAACAAGAGTTCGTCTACTATTTACTATAGTACCGACGACATGTTTCTCGGCCTTGTATATCAGATCGAATTTAAGTTGATTATATGGGAAGTAGGTGTGATTGTATTCCCATTTTCACAGTGTATGATAGAAATGTCTGGGTAACACACACTAAATTTAATTGAAAACAGGCAAATAGGCTTTAAGATATAGGATTTTACTTAAAGATGGGCGGTGCCACGCCCATTGTCTAATTTTTACACCTGCTTCTATAAAGCCAAGGCCCTTCCTTACCACCTTGGTGGTGAAATTTAATGTTCTTTTTTTTTAGGAAATACAAATAAAAAATTTAAGTATTTAAATAATTTTCTATTGTTCATGTCGTTTGGTGCATAGGTTGCACCCTTCAGTAATTCAAGTATTTTGTGATACACGTCATTGTTTCTTTTGGTAAATCTTTTAGTGTTCGAGAAAGTGCTTCTAATATTACATGTTAGTTCTTCAATATTTTGAAGATTTAACGGCAATTTTAATACTCAATGAGCCGTACGGCATCTTTCTAACAATGCGGCTACTATCACAGAAGCAACTGCAATCGCGATGTTAAATCTCGCACGAACAGTGGCTAAAAGTACTGACATGAGGAATGTCTTACCAGTTCGACCAGGAGCATCCAGGAAATATAAACTACCATTTCCGTCATCAATTGCCTTCATTAATGTATCATAAACATACTTTTGTTGGGGATTCAACAGGGGTACACTCGTTTGAACTACTAAATCTAATTCTTGGTGATCATATTCACGTTCTAGTTCCAGTTCTCGATTAAATACGTCATTCATTTCACGATTTGGCGCTGGCATTCCTTACTTGAATAATAAGCTACCACACAACAGGTACCACATGTCTTCGATCAAGAGTAAAACCCGATAATATATCTCCTTATTCATCTCAAGATCGTGATTTATGGAACTAACACGAATCTGCTGTAAAATGTCTTCTGACATATTATCCTTGTATTTGTGCCACAGGCTAGATTGATTCGATGGAAAGCTTGTCGAAATGTTGATAGCAAATAATGTGCGTACCTGACTTGGAGATGAAGAGATAATGGCTTCAATGATTGTCGTATCACAATGGGTATCGTGTCTTGTGTGTCTTGATCGTTTGGAAAATAAGTGGCGAATAAGGTGTTTTCACTTTTTTTGTGGTAGTTCGACCATATCATGTGGAGATAGATCCCGATACAGTGGATAACCATCGTTGACAGTGACGGTCTCCGTCGGTATTTTCCGTGGAAATCGTTTGGAACACTTACCGTCGACCATGCAAGGTGATTGGGGATTGATGGCACCACACAGTTCATGAATCATATTAGTAATTACAACATCATGTTGGTTTGGATCCGCTTCGGGATCGGGGATCTCGGCGCAGATGATATCATCTTTTTAGTATATCGACCAATATTAGTCGGATTAAATACTCGTTCTTCGATAATATCTGCCCCAGGTCATGAGGTCATTTGGAAACAACGATTATATTTTTGTGTTTCTGCAAGAAAATTATGGCTAAGGTTGCGAAGTCAATAATGGCACTTTAGCACTAAGGCAGCACAATCCAGGGGTTTCTCCGAAAAACTTCAATTCGTCACAATACTTACGTACAATGTCCATTTGCCCAATGCCATCGCTAGGATACAAGCAGTAAGCAATGCTGCAATCGTATCTAAACACTTCTCCATTTAAATCAACACTAGATAGAGCTCTTCTTGTGCGTTGTAAATCATCTCCTTGTTTATCTCTGTGGTTCGTTCGACGGTTTCGCATTGCCAACAGAGCCGTTTCACGGGCTGCCTCTCGAGCCATACTAACGCGGCGCTCTTCGCGGACAATTTCTTGTTATTCACGTCACACAGGAACAAAAAATTTAAATTATTGTGCTCTCGCAGCTGTGTGTTGTTATTTTATTTTTTTGAATTAATAAAATATTGAAATGATTTGTACATGAATTTTTAATACCTGCTTCTGATTTGAAATATAATTTTTTATTAATGTATTGTATTGACTTTTAATATAAAAAGGTAAAAAGTATCACCAAAATTCAGTCAAATCGGTTCAGATATTTTTGAGTTATAAATAGTGTAACTAACACAACTTTTTTTTTATATACGTACAAAGTTCAAATAACAAGTCGGTTAAATCCTCTTGATTTGCCTACTCGCCTGGAATTTTGCTAAAAAATTATTGACATGGCCAAATAAGACAATAACCTGAAAAATTGCCTGTTTATGTCTGATGAAGCCCATTTTGATCTAAACGAAAATGTAAACAAGCGATTGTTCTGTATTTCCTTGTCTAAAACTCGTCCTTGTTCGTTCGTTGCTGTGCTTATTATCAAAATTGTTATAATTGGTATGTCTATTATGTGATGGGTTATGACCCCCAGGCTTTTGATTAGTTCTTTCTTGTGTTATTGGATTGTATGATCTTGTATTTATAGTTAGTCCAGTTTCTTCTAGGACACAGTAAACTTCAGTTAACGAGTTAATATTTCTACCGTAAATTATTGATGATAGATGTGGTGGTTTATCATTTAAAAATGTTTTTATTATTAGGTATTCGTTTGTCCCCCTTGTATGAAAAGTCTATTACATACAAACTGATCGATCGGAAGTGCTTGTATGGACAATTTTTTCATTTAACGAGATATCGTAGTTTGGAATGGATCATTATCTAAGGCAATATAGAATCTCCGAAGAAACTGTTCTGCTCGAACCACTATAGTATATTGCTGTCATACAAGCTGAACGATCGGAATCAAGCTCTTCTAAGGAACCTTTTGTATTTGTGAAGGGTATTATAGTTTCGGTGCAATAGAAGTTAATGTTTTTTATTGTTTTTTTTTTAACACTTTTACTTCGGTGAAGTTCTTTGCTTTGTCTAAGGACAAAGTGTAGGCGACTGCGCTAGTTGATTTAATAGATATAATAACCCACCGATTACCCTCCTCCCGCCCAACCGACGCGAGGGGCGCAGTCCGCATACGTGCGGAATTAGCCGAGTCAGAAAAGGCAAGAGAGTTTTTTAAGTTTTGAGATCTAAAACTATTTAGCTACAGAAACAAAAATTTCAACAATAAGATTTATAGTAACAATATAATAAATTGTTACATTTTCATTCATTAAGAGAAAACAATAAAGTCTTTTTAATTTTGAAAAGTGAGTCAGATAAGTCAAATGTGCTGGAATGAGAATAAAAATACTGCGGAATGGCTCGTTTAGTTCAAAATTTGATCTACAGGATTTTAGAACTAAAGGTCTAAACTGCCTCGAAAGGCGAACCGGGATATTAAATTTAATTTCAGACAGGAGAAAAGAACTGCAAACTGTTCCATTCAAGATTTTCACTAAGAATATTATGCCAAGCATTTCCCTACGACTAGAAAGTGTAGGTAGATTAATAAGTTTTAAACGACTAGTGTATGGAGGTAGACTTGCCCTAGAATCCCATCGGAAATGCGCTCAGGCGAAAAGTAAAAATTGTTTTTGAACAGACTTTAACTTGTCAGAATGGATTTGGTAGTTAGGGTTCCATACAACAGAGCCATATTCTAATATAGGTCTAACCAAAGTTGTATAAAGTGTTTTAGTAATATACGGATCTCTAAATTCTTTAGACCAAAGCTTAACACAATTGAGGACAGCTTTTGCTTTCAATACCATGGAATATTAAGACTAAAATTAAGCTTAGTTTCCATATTAACTCCCAAATCAACATAGTTAAAAACTTTCTCTAGA